TGATGAGCAAAGGGGTCCAGACCAGGCTGGTGAAACCCACAGAAACAGCTGACCTGAACAATGGGGAGCTCTTGGTCCCCAGAGTGATAGATGGGATACTAGCATGGGACTGATCCAGACTCCAGGAAGGTGGGGTTCAATGAGAAGACCTTGGAAATCTATGGGACCTCCTGTAGTAGTTCAGTACTTATCAGTAGCATAACTGTGGATTTTGGGAGCCCAATCCACATAGAGGGATACTCCCTGAGCCATGGCACACAGGGGTGGGCCTAGGCCCTATCCCAAAGTATATGATAGACTGTGATGACCCCCCTATGGAAGGCCTCACCCTCCCTGGGGAGCAGAAAGGATATGTGATAGGTAGGATTTTAGTTGGGGGGGGGTAGGGAAGGAGGGGAGGGAGTGGGAACTGCGAGTGACATGTAAAACAATCTTGTTTCTAATTCAAATAAAAAAAAAGATGGAAAAAAAAGAAATGCTGGCAAGGATGTGGAGGAAAAGACACTCTTATTCACTGCCCATAGATAGGTACACTGGCAGCCAGTATGGAAATCAGTAGGTGTTCCTCAAATGCCTAAAAATACTATCATTTCTACCCATGACTATTTACCTGGAACTCCACTTGTGTTATGTGGCCACTAGAGAAGAGCAGAATTGAAAGTATTTGAGTTGAAAGCTCAGAGAGTAAATATTTTGGCGCTAAATCATGCTTACTTAAAGTAACTTAAAGTAATGGTTATTTCTTTAAATTTTTCCACTTCTGTATAAATAGAATCCCACCCCACCCCCAACTCACAGTTTAGTCACATTAAGGTTTAAACTATCAAGTGGACAAATACTCAGGGTTACAGTGGAAATAATACTCGTGTCAATTTTTAATAAAAAAACAAAATATTATTGCTATTGTCTAAAATACCCAAGAGTTCCCAAACTTTTACAGTTGCTTATAAAGTTTTTCTCCTCTTTACTTTGTGCAGGTTAACTTGTCAAGTTTTAAATGTCCATTTTTTAAAGTAACTGTTTCTGGGGGGGGCTGGAGAGGTAGCTCAGTAGTTAAGAGCACTAGCTGCTCTCCCAGAGGTTCTGAGTTCAATTCCCAGCAACCACATGGTAGCTCACCACCATCAATAATGGGATCTGATACCTTCTTCTGATGAGTATGAAGAGAGAACACTCTTATATATAAATAAATCTTAAAAAAAAAGAAAGCACACTGCCTCCTTGGGCCTTTGGTTAAGCCTGAAGCTTCAAGCTAGTTGTGTTTGTTACACTGTTCTGTTAAGTTCCAACACATACTAGAAGTATTGATGCTTTAGGCTCTATGACACTTTGTGACATTACTTTTGGCTGTGGCTCTGGAAAACGTTTCTGGAGAAAAAGCAGATGTCTCTGTACACTTACGCCTGTGAGTGGTGTGCTCTGTCATCTTCATCCTCAAGACTTATTAGTGTCTCTAAATTGTGAGAGTTACCTTTCGGTCTGTCAGTGGGCTTTGGGAAAGATAGAGTAGATTTTTAAACAGCTAACTGCCAGCAATGTATTCTTTTTAACATATGTTAACTCTTAATCTCATGTGCCAAAGAGATAAGGTAGCAACCATAGGTGACCTTACTGAATCCCTCAGGTAAGTGAGTACCCTAACTCTGTGCAGCCTTGTATCTCCTATGAAATACATCATCCTCCATGCAGTTAGTGTGATTTGAGTCCATTTGGGCTCACTAAATTGCTTTCATTTGCCCCTGCAAAAAATGTTGATGGCACCCAATTTATTACACTACTGTTTGAGTTCATACACAAAATTTATAGTAATTAATATGCAGTTGGTTAATCTGTAACTGGCAGGCATTTGTCATTTGCTTTTCATTTTCTTAGTATTTCTCATTTGTTGTTATGCAAAATTGACACTAATAATGCTAATGTATGCCTGGATTCACTGAAACTGCCCTGCTGTTCTGTTTGGCCCTGTCTTTGTAAACCTGAGGAAGCAAGGCAGATGGACTTGTACATGGGAATGCAGTGCTTCTGTTCCCTCTTAGAACATGTTCCTTCTTATGCCAAATGCTGTGTAGGATACTCTTTATTCCTGTAGTAAGTTTCTCAGTCTGAGTACATAATTATCCTATTTAACTCCGAGTACACCAATAATCATTTGTATTGGGAAGCTCCTTTAATAACCCTCAAATGGGACTATAGTTTGCTGTTGCTTTTTAAATAATTCTATCAGCAGAGGCAGCAGGGAGTAGGTTGTTTCTGGAGATATGGAAAATCACAGCACACCCCCCCATACACCCTATGTGTGTGTCCTTAGTTATTAAAGATAATTGGTTCCTTTTGAGATATTTTTAAAAAATCCCCCAAATTATTTCCCAAATTGTTGATCTCTGCCAAAACTGATAGTAACAGGATATGGGATTTCCAAGTGTCCTCAAAAAAATCTGTCTGTAGCTATGGATTTGGCTTTTTCACAGTTAATGACAAATAAGCCCTCCCGTGGCTTGCCTGACTCACAAGCTTGAAGTCTCTGGGCTTCAGGCTCCGCTTGCCCTGTACAGAGTTCCTCAGCAGATCCAGTGAGCAGAGTAGGTAGGCCTTCCCTTCCTCAGGTATGTATTCCTCAGCTAGACCCATGTGACCTAAGACCCTGATGGATTTGTCTCAAGAACAGTTCTCAGCCTTGGTTGTTAACTAAGCTGCTGTTTTACAGTGGGTGTGATTTATTGTCTTCCCAGCTACATTCTAGCTATAGACTCAGAAGTTCTTCATCATGACCTCATTTTCCTCCTATAAACAGCACAGCACATAGTAAAGAGTATAGGGCACACTTTATAGAGAGACTCTTAATCCTTTTAAATTGCTGGGGCATGTGACAGCTGGGATTAGAAAAGGCGTAAAAATGTATGCACAACAACACAGTTAAGAACAAATTCCTCAACAAGTGTCAGGGCTCCGCAACATCAAGAAGGTCAGAAAGGAGCCAAAAGCCCCTAAGCTCTATAGGTAGCTAACAGGAAAAATTAAAATTAAAAAAAAAAGAACATCAGATACTAATATCAGCTAAGGCTGATGATATTTTGCAAAGAATTAATTAAATTTATGCTTACAGATTGAATTTTTGTGTCTTGACTGCAAATGATTCCTTTTCAATATCCACTTATTTCCTTCTTACACTCTCTGTCTCTCTCCCTTTTCTACC